AAACATGAGAAAAGGCCATCAGAATTACAAATCTATCAGTGTATATTATTGTGAAGGGAACAAACTTTATGGATGAACAACTTCTTTATTCGGAAGATGCTGTTGTTCGTTTCTGGTTCCATGGTAAATTTGATGCATTGGTGTTGGTTGTTGAGATGTTGTAGTAGCTGTTCTGGATCTTGGGACCGCCTCCGTGGTGTAGTGGTTAGAGCGTCTGCCCGGAGAGCAGAAGGTCGCGGGTTCGATCCCCGACCGCGTCATACCAAAAGACGTTAAAATATGGTACTTGTTGGTCCCTGCCTGGCGCTCGGCAATAATGGGTACAACAAGGACTGGTCGGCTCGGAGTCAGTATACTGTGTCTGAGTGGGGTATTAATGCTTCACTGCGGCATGGTATCTCAGTGAGCTAGCACTATAAAACCAGCTTAAGTCTGGGCTAGTACAAGCAGCCACACCTACACATACACACACATGCACGTCGTCATATGAGCGAAATATTCTCAAGCACGACGTTAAACCCAATTTCACCTCACCTCACCTCTGGATCTTGGCCGGGGTGGAGGATGACAAACGTGTCGTCAACCTTACGATGCCAACTTATAGGTTTCACAGGTGAAGTCAGTAGGGCTTTCTCTTCTAGGTCTTCTTGTTCATCCATAAAGGGGCCGGTGGGGTAGCCTAGTGGTTAAAGCGTTGGCTCGTCACGCCGAAGACCCGGGTTCGATTCCCCACATGGGCACAATGTGTTAAGCCCATTTTCTGGTGTCCCCCGCCGTGATATTGCTGGAATATTGCTGAAAGCAGCGTAAAACTAAACTCAGTCAGTGAGTCATCCATAAAGTTTGTTCCTTATCAGATTCACCAACTTCTAAACATGCCACTCAAAGAAAATATATTATTGTAATGTAGGGACACTTCCTCTTTACAATGCCTAAATTCAGTATCCTGTGTCTTCGGGAGCTTCCATTGCTTGCATGAAATTTAGAAAAGGAAGAGATGGGTCACTACACCACTGTAAGCACAAGTGGACAGACCAAGATTAACTGACAAAAACAAGCAAGAATTTCATTTGTGGAATGTAGGGACACTTCCTCTTTACAATGGGGGCGGTGGGGTAGTCTCATGGTTAAAGCGTTGGCTCGTCACTCCAAAGACCTGGGTTCGAATCCCCACATGGGTACAACGTGTGAAGCCCATTTCTGGTGTCCCCCGCCGTGATGTTGCTGGAATATTGCTAAAAGCGGCGTAAAGCCAAACTCAGTCAGTCCTCTTCACAATGCCTAAATTCAGTATCCTGTGTCTTTGGGAGCTTGCATTGCCTGCATGAAAGTTAGAAAAGGAAGAGATAGGTCACTACACCACTGTAAGCACAAGTGGACAGACCAAGATTAACTGACAAAAACAAGCAAGAATTTCATTTGTGAATCCTGCAGATTTGGACACTAGAGTGGAAGAAATCTAGGTTTGCCCAATCATCCTACATGCAATTTTGGACTTTCATTTTAATGTATTCCAGAGGGTCTCGAAGACCACGGACGGTTACCTCATCCACTCACCATGTTGTGATGATTTACATCTCAATCACAGGCGCGTAGCAAGCCCATTTTTTGGGTGTAAGCCTGATGTGTTGCAAGCTTTTATATTCAGATAGTATTGGGGTTTGCCCAACCTTTTTAGCAACAATCATGTGTAAGCCTGGGCTTTTTTTTATGATGTAGCTACGCGACTGAATCATTCTATATTCAATTTGGGACAACTTGCAGATGACGAAAGGTAACCTCATCCGTTGACCATATTGTGTTGATCTGTCTTTCAGGTTATTTAGTAGAAATAGTGCTGCCCAAGAGGCAACCAGTATTCTTGAACAACAACTAGTTTCTGAAATGAACATGTTTCACAGAAAAACAGTTCCTAAATTATAGTCATAAAACATAATGAAAAGGAGCCCAGAGACTTTCTTCATTTTCAGACCTAAAAACTCTCCTAATCTAGACTTGCCACACATTATAGGGTTTCTTAATACAGTGAGACCTCGGATATCCGGACACATTCGTTTTTACGTAAATCGTCCAGATATCTGTCATCCAGGCTTAGGTGTTGAAACGGTAGTGAGCAAACACTTCTGTTTAAAGTCACTTCCAAAACAGCATGGTCGTTTTGATTTGCCAATTACAATTCACTCTGTGTCAGATAGGCCTACTAATCACCACCAATATCCCGCTGATCAGTCATTATTCCGGATTTGCAGATCTTGTCTCATGTCAAGACACGTGGGACGCTCGCGCTTCACTTCACACAGTGAGTGGAAGATCAAAGCTTTCATGCGGAAAAGTGAGTCAATTTTGTGTTGATTTAGTCAGTTTGTAAAATGTACCGTCTGGGAACAGAAACCTGTTATAGACAATCACTTTTATAATGTATGAGATTAGTTTTTTGTATAATTGACTGGAAATCGAGGTTTCCGGATATTTGGTGTCCGGGTATCCGAGGTCTCACTGTATATTAGTTGCAGGGTCTGTAAGACAGACAACCAGGTTTCTTGATAAGGCTTTTTTGTGTTATCTATAAAACCATAAATTATCAACCAGCTATTTGATAATAACATAGGCCTCTAAATATTGTACAAAACATTCTATATTTTTATCACGGAAATACTTGACTGGTAAACCTCCTGAAGGTCTTAACTGAATGTCTCATGCAGAGGACAAATGGGGCTGGGACTGGGACTCAAGCTTGGAAAAAATGGTTGAAAGGAGAAAAGGTTGAAAGGAGAAATGGTTGAATGTGTCATCAGACTGCCAGAGGATGCTGCTCTTAACCTAGATCAGTCAAAACTAGATCAGTTACCATGTGCCATAATACTGCAGGAATACTGCTAGCTGGCATAAAATATTCACTCACTTCTAGGATCTGTTTATCATTGATTCCAATCTGCGATTTTGTCTCATTGTGGATTTAAAAGTGGCAAATGTCACAGAGCGGAGAACGTCCCAAGAAAATTACTGATATACCAGGAACTGACGTGCTGTTCATAACAGTGCCATGGTTCAACACAACTCATTCTGTGTAAAATGTCAAGCCACTGGTTTTGTTTGTCTTTAAATGTTCCTGTAATTGGAATGCCGGTTTCTGTGGCTGACAAGGGTCTCTTTCTGTTATGGATGATCCAGCAACTATGGTTTGGCAGTCTGGGATAATGTTTGTTTTCGAACAGCTCAAAAGTGGCCTAAAATCTGTCCTAGCTGAATGTTTAACAGCAAGGTATGTATCCAAGGAATTTGATTGACAAAACTTCTCAGAGTGAAATTTAGCTTCTGCCACATATATCACTAGTTGTTCAAATAATAGGGACCAATACTACTGCTGACAAACAGCGTGTGAAATTTATGTTGGTCCTGTGGTCCCTGGCTAGTAAAATTTCATCAGGACCACTAAATGATATGTTTGCAGTGGTCCAGGTGGCCAGTGTTTGCTTTGATAGTTAAGTAAATCTACAAATGTTATTTTGGACCAGTGAAGTACAGACAGGACCACTATTTATTGTCCACTCACTGGTCCTGTCCTCTTAGCGTTAAGAGAGCTTCGAAAGTCTAGGCCCTGGTTTGCTTGTTTGCTGTGTCAAAATAGGAGTCTGGACCAGACAATCCAGTGATCAACAGCATGAGCATTGATCTATACCACTGGGATATGATGACATGTGTCAACGAAGTCAGCAACCCTGACCACCTGATCCCGTTAGTTGCCTCTTACGACAATAACCCAGGACCAAACAAACCCTGAACTGAGCAGGAGTAGGGCTGCGCAATATAACCGGTTCAGACATGAAAACGATACGTACTCGCGATATGCTGATCGAAAACCGGTATTTTGACATGCATTCGGAAAACGTCGTAACACTCGGAAATCTTTGGATATTTCCTTGTTTCATTTCTGCCAAATATTATTCACATTTTTATTTTATCATGATTAAAATTTGTTATTAAAGCTTAATCAAGCATAGTGATTTTGTTATGTTTTTGCTCTATAAATCAGGCAGTAACTCGATTATAAGTAGTTTTTTGTTAAAAAATACTTCATGCAATATATTGCAATGCATATCGCAATACATGCTTTCGCATCGCAATATGAATATTCTCTGCAATACCCACCCCTAGGCAGAAGTGTGCGGAGGGTTTGTCTTTTAGAATAAACCAGTGTTCATCATATTGCCTGGTTTCCTGGTGGCAGACGGTCTCATTCATCTTGTCCACCTCTCATTTCAGACTAGCAACATTGTAATATACTTTCCCTACCCCCAATAAAAAAACAAGCAGGGGAACCCAAACTTTCAATTTGGATAGGAAGTATAAGCGTTAAACTTCAAATACAGACATGTTATGAATGCACCACCATTTCTCTTTATCACCACCCCAAAACACAACGCATGGGATGTACGTGGTAGCCCCATGCATGGGGTGTCATTCTTGATACTGACGTTTTTCAAGGTGGGTAAATCACTGTTAACCATTAATTTTGACAATCGTCTTGCATCACACGGTTGTTAGTGTTTGTTTCTAGCCATTTTATTTGTTTGAATATGAAAATCGTACACATGCAGATTTCATGTCCTACACCAATCATCTTTCAAGAGCGATTACTGTATAAACAACTATGGTCATAAGGAAGTGCAAGTGGTGATGCACTCTCAAAACATTCATTATTACCATATCAACATCGACTGACTCCGATCTATCTCCCAATCTTTTCACTCATAACTTAAAAATGGAATTCCCCCACTTATTTTTTTAAGAGTAAATCGATTATCGCAGAAATCAGGCAAGCTGTAACCATTTTCATTATTCTCGGAATAATGAACTTGTGGCCATGTATATCCCTTGTTTTTTCCTGGCTGTGTATATCTTTCCAGTTGCTCCCTGACGATTTAAACTGAACTATCTGTACAGCATCAGACAGACATTTTCACCCAAATCCCAGACATCAATAACCATGAGGCTGAACGTTCAGTTCAATTAATTTAAGAGTTTATTAAGATGTTTCTATTGTGTCTAGAAACACTGTATACAGTATATACAAGTACATATAAGCTTCGAGGATGACCTCTGGATCAAAGGTCACCCAAACTGCCTCTCAGGAGGAGAAAAAACATTCTTAGAGCTGAAATCAGTCTTTAATATATAATGGTTCCATACCAGTATATCAAAATAAAAAAGAAATTCATTCTAACTAGTAAACCATAAATTCCTGGTGCAGTGAAAACAATATTTCAGAACACAGCGACAAAAATAATTTGTCATATTTTACAAAACTTAAAGTTTCACATCGATCCAGGCAGAGATTGAGTCCATTCTTTGAGACACCAAATTTACCACATGATAAATAATTTAAATTATACAACTTTGCCATCCTTCAAATGTCATTGCATTTCACAACAATTCTGCACTTGGTTGCAGCATGTACACTGCATTCTGGGATTGCATATGATGCCGACCAAATCACTCAGGCTACCTCCGTAAAACAGTTATCTTACTTCGACAACCAATGGACAAAACGCTTTGGCAGATACAGAAGGTGAGGTCAGGAATGACCAAGATGAGAGTTATCTCCCTTGAAACCTCTTCCAGTTTCCAGTACATGTCTGTGCCATTTCTGCATTATTGGTGCATTTTTAATGCTCAAGTTGTAGTAAAAGTTTGCACAGATGAATATATCATATGTATCACACTTTAACAGAGGCAGCCATTTCAGCCACACTCAACAAGAAATGGTTTTGACCAGTAGAGTTTTGTCTTTTGGCATGAGTTAATGGAATAATTCCTGAGGGAAAATTCCTGTTTTCACACGTTTACGCCAGTGATTTGTCCGGCTTTGTAAGCACTTGATTTACATGTTGCCTGAGCACTTTCCATTAGGAATCGGTATGGAAGTTTGCATATTGTTTGACTTGTGTTGCCTTCTCGACTGTGGTCGTCCCGTTTCACAATTAGCACATATCCGACCATGGTAAGAACACAGACAGCACATCCACAGAGTATACAATTCCACATATACACACACGATTGCACATTTAACTTTGCAACCAATGATTCTCTAACCCATCACAATAAAAAAGCTGACACTACCGCGAGTGACCGTCGGGATCGGTTGAACTCGTGTCCCGTTTGTCTTTTAATTCGCTCGTACTGTCAGCCGGACTGCATCCTTTTGATTTGCTGCTTGTTGGCGAGTTGTTATGACTACGAGAATGAGTTGCGGAGGCAGATGGTATCAGAGGCGGGGGAGCCCCGGGAATGATGGCAGGGGATGCCGTCTTGCTGCCCGGTGTGGTTGTGGTTGTGGTTGTGGTTATGGTTGTGGTGGGAGTGTCCGTGACCACTGTGGTTCACTGCAGGACTGATTGTCCTTGAGAAAGGAGGAAGCCCCAAAGGGTCGGGTGTCCTCATAGGCAGCTTGCTTTGCTCAAAGGCGAACCTATCGTACGATGGAATGCGGTCAAGATACCGGCTCCTCATCTCCATTTCTTCTCGCATAATCTGCTCCTTGAGACGTTCCTGCTCAATCACAGCCATTGGGGAAGTGAATCTCAGGGCTGCCATTCGCTCTCGATCTAAGTCCAAAGGATTCATGGATAAACCTTTCTCGAATGGGTTCCACAAAGGTTGACTATGAGGTGGCCGATCCATTGGAAAATAATGTGGTCCAAGCACACGATTTCTCTCTAACATATTAAACCCAACCATTGGGTTGGTTGGAGGCACATGTCCAAGGCCGACTAAATTGTTCCTCAATAATTTTTCACGCTCAGCGTTCATGTTATTGATATTATTAATAAATTCTTCATCTCTCCTTTCCTCTTTAACTTTTATACTCTGCCTTTCTAAACTGCTAGTGTCCGATTTGGCAGAGTCTACACGGCCATTTCGCATCGGTGACCTTGACCTTGACCGAGATCGCCGACGCTCATGCTCTTTAAATCTGTCCCGAGATCTTTCAATGTCCACAAAACTGTTAAGACGTTCTCTTGACTCGGCATTCCGACGCTCCCTGGAAAAGTAAGAAACACAAATGAAGGCACCATAAAGGAAATTATTACCTCCCTCAACTGCTTCTGAGAACATCACCCAGTTATATCTTTGGCAGATGCCTCTTTCATAGTGACTATGTTAACGCTAGTACTGATTTAAATAGGAAGATTAGTGACCGAATCTTGTTTTTGTCATATCACAGTGTCGCAAAACCAAAAACAGATTTCTCAAATTATGCATTTCTTTGCGATGTCTTCTAATATTTTAATATCTCTCATATATGACCAATTCATTTTCATAACAGACCAAAATACGAAAGATACAAAAGTTTATCTCACCTTTCTCTTTCTTCTTCTCTCCTCCTCTCATTTAACTCCCGTTCTCGGTCCCTTTCCCGTTGTTCCCTTTCTCGCTCCCGTTCCCTTTGTTCCCGTTCTCTCTCCCTCTCTCGTTCAAGCTCGCGTTCCCTCTCGCTCTCTCGGTCGAGATCCAGCTTCGGCCATGATGGGAATGACGGAGGTGTTCGATGCAGACGGTTCCATTCGTGAGGGGGTGTTACCCCCGGTATTGCAGTGACGTCACGACCAGTACCAAATGGACTACCTCCTAAAATGTACAAAACAATTGATGATGCACCCAGTTAACCACAATATTGAACAAATTATTAAGGTCTGTGCTGCCTCGTGAGTGTCAGCATGCCATAATGGCATGTCAAACAGAATCACTAGTTTCAGATTAGGTTTCACTGGCATCATCGTCTGAAGAAATGGCCCTGAAATGTTGTTACAAACTTTTTAATCCTTTTTGGTTTGCCAAAATTTGGGATCAAACCCACAACCCTCAGCTCTATGGGAGGACACTCTGTCCACTAGACCACGGCATCAGCGTAATCGGTATCAAAGACTCGAGATCCACAATGAACATGAGATCATGCATTTGGTACACCATGACATGCATTAGTCAGCGAGCCTGACCACTCGATCCTGCTGATCTTACAACAAGCATGGATTGCCGCAGACCAATTTTAACCCCGATTTTCAAGGGGTTGTCAAGCTCTTACACAACGAGTTGGAAGGTGATCTACGCGAATGAACTACTTACCAAGGCTACCTAGGCTACCAAGGCCGCCGAAACCAACTGAACTTGGATACGGGGATGGCCTGGGGAATGATGGAACTCCTGTAACAACAAAATACAGTCATCAATTATCTCCCTTTGACCAGATCACCCATTTAACAGTCAATGAAGTGAGAAGAAGAAACAAAAAATATTTGAGTGCATCTGTTGATACTACTACAGGCTAATGCCAGTTTCATGGTGCTAGACCATGCAGCAGCTTGACATTGATTTTCAATTTAGACCCATGTTCTCTAAGACTGACTCAGTACTGTTTATCAACATCAAGAGCTGTGACAATATATCATAGTATCAATAAACGTGATACTTTTTTTCGTATCATGATATGTATTGTTGACCTTAAAATTTTTAAACTTAAAATTTTCAACTAGAAGTTGATGGTTATGTCAAAATTTACACTGTTACTTGCTATCAAATGTTTTTAAAGAAAATAACTGAAGAAAATATTCCAGCAATATCACAGCGGGGTACACAAGATATGGGCTTCATACATTGTACCCACGTGTGGAATCAAACCCAGACAAGCGAACGTCATAACCACTAGGCTATCCCACCGCCTCAAATAACGAATCAAATCGTATTGTTCCAAGATATCGTGATACTTATAATGTCGTGAAATTTCTGCACTGTCACACCTCTACCAACATCTTTTGTTACAAAGAGGCAGGGGATAGAATCCACATTAATCCGTTCTCTGGGCTCTATACACTGACCCAGGCTGGCAAACCTACATGCATTTTAAAATCTATATTAAATACAGCCATATTAACCTCTCCTTCTGAAACATGTTCTCAGAATCTTAGAACCTACAAGAACACTTCTACATACCTATATGAGGGTTTAGGAAGCTGTTGGAACCATGGGCTTCTAATAAACTTCTGGAGTGAGCACCTGAAAAATAGAAGAATATTATTATTTTCAAATAATCTTCTAAAATGAATCAAATGTTTCAATGCTTGATAGCACGCCTTCTAAATGTATTTAAGTACCTTCCAGAGAGACAAATCTAAATCAAATTGGTTTTTTTGGGAAAAGTATGAATACTGCACGGGTACCTACTTTTGATATTCAAGGGAAAGTGGCAAGATCCTCTGGCAAATTCTTTTCACCCAAACATAAGTGAAAATAATTACAAAGCTGAATACTCTTAAAAATCTTACGGTAAGACCTATTATTATGCTCAAAAACAACTCTTAGTGACTTACCCAATAGAGAACCTGGGTTACCTCCTCCTAATTCTGGGGGTCTAGGATGGAGGGCGGGACCTGGCATTAGATGACTAGGGGGACGCAGAGGGTCGCCTGGCTTCACCTCCAGACCTTTTGTTGGGTCATTCTGTTGCTTCTGCTGATGATGGTAAATCTCCCATGCTACTCGTACATGGACTGCACACCATTTTCCGGACTTCTGCAAAGAAGAGTGAAAAGGGAGATAATTATCTTGATTTCATTTTTTAAAATTGTTTGAGGTACTTTAGACTGACCAACTGAGTTTGGTTTTACGCCGCTTTTAGCAATATTCCAGCAAAATCGCGGCGGGGGACACCAGAAATGGGCTTCACACATTGTACCCATGTGGGGATTCGAACCCGGGTCTTCAGCGTGACGAGCCAACGCTTTAACCATTAGGCTACCCCACTGCCCCAGGTACTTTAGAAGTTGGTGATTCAATAATGAAGCATATGACTTTATGTATAACGACTTCTTGTTTATTGATAGATCATTATAGCATCCATTAAGTTTTATGCTTCATTACTCATTTTGTTATTTTGGATTTTTGTATGCTTAAGGATACGTTCAGCAAGCGGTTGTGATAAAAATGAACATACACAATATCAACAGAATAATATTGATAACAGTGGCCTACACAGTTGGTGCATATGTACAAATTCAACCAGGTGTGAGCTGAGCAAGTCTATGGAACAACTGATCCCAGTTTTCATTCTCTCTATGAAACAAATATGGCGGAAAAGGGACTCATTCCGAATGATTCAATTGTTTCTGTCTGCATTCCATACTAAAATCCAATTGTGATGCAATATTTAAACCCATAAAAACAGCCATCTCCTTAAACGTCATTACGACTTCGCCCATCAATAAAACAAAAATATTACAATAATTTGGCAAGTGAACTCATTCATCATTATGGAACTACACCACCAGATCATTACGTCTAACTATCACCACTAATGATGTCTCTCAAGGCTAGGCTACATCCCCGTAACGCAGACACAATTCATGATGCTCTTCATGCAAAGTATATCAATATCTCAATACCATCAACACGAGTACAGTTGGTTGCGATCGCATAGCTTTTAACGATTTCCATTGTACTCTATGTGAGATGGCACTTTAGTAAAGAACGAGTTTGGAGAATGTTAATTTGTTGCGAATCATTACTTGCATAGCCGTTGGTTCCAAAAGAAATGCTTAGCCCAACCCCGATGGTCTTTGACTCGACTTGGAGAAAACATCTTTGCTTTCAGAACGAGTTTCAAGCACTAAAAGCTATCAGGGACAGAAGGGTTTTCAAGTCGGCATAAAAACGTCCTCGACAACCATCATTTTCTCCCCGAGGAAATCCATTAAAGATTTCTTATTGATTTCCCTGTGTAACATGTCATCGTTTTCCTTTGATACTTCTTCCACGTCTATAGGAAGATAATCAAGATCTCTCCAGAGATTGGCAAAAAATAAATTTCCACCATCCTTGCTACGCAGGATTAATTACCCTTACTCAGTGGTGATAAATACCCTCCTTGGGCAATGCGTGGAGCATTCACAATTTTTTCTCCTCCTCTTTACCATTGAAGTAAACACAGAGTGTAAATCAATATTCAAAGACGAGCTCTTCGGATAAGGAGACATGCATATTGCCAGACGTAAATTCCAGGAAGATATTCGGTAGTGTATGGACTTCAACCTGAAGGGTCCTTGCGTTTTGATTAAAAAAGTTCGCAACTCGTAAAAATGTGTTTTGTATGCAAATTACAAAGTGAATGAGCCTGAAGGCATAAAGCTGACAGTCTCCGAAGAATCCTGATTTGAAAGAAATCAAGTCCTCCTGGGATCCAAACTCCCTATGAAGACATCTGTTGGAGAATTTCAAAGAGACTGCATAGGGATCTTTGTAAAGCAGTCGAGAAGCTTCGTCCTTTGTAACCTGGACATCATGCACCCATAAATTGTATTACTTGTATTCTCGTAAAAAAAACCTAACAAAATTAGACTGTTAACCTGAAGCTACTTGTGAACACAAATTTGTCTTGAAACAATGATGCCATGCCTTAGAATTGATTAGTTTGTTCTTGATCAAGTTTGGTCCATTGTTTTTCCTTCAGTGACTTTTTTCGTGGATATTTTGAAGTTTTTATCGCCCATTCTTGTACAAATGGTGAATTGTTGTAGCCATGTGCGAAACACACTACTCTGTTACAAGTCCATTCTGCTGGGGGAAACTAACTCGATTCCACAACGTAGGGGGATGTTGATGTGGATAGAGCATGTCAATGCTCTTGATGTGTCAAACACAGCAGGCTCTGTGCTGTCTTAGGTAGAACATAGGTCAATGAGTGAGTGAGTGAGTTTGGTTTTACGCCGCTTTAAGCAATATCACGGCAGGGGACACCATAATTGGGCTTCACACATTGTATCCATGTGGGGAATCGAACCCTGGTCTTCGGTGTGACGAGCGAATGCTTCAACCACTAGGCTACCCACCGCCCACATAGGTCAATGACTGCCTGGTTGGTCATAGCAGGATCTATGCTCTCATGGGTTGAGCATAGCAAAATATGCATGTGTTCCGAGTATATCATGCAGCTCAGATTAGCACAGCAGAGGGACCTTGTGTTCCAAGCATTGCAGGCTGTACTGATGTTATGTTCTTGAATGCCTACTAAGTTTGGTTTGTTGTTTAACACCGCACTCAGCAATATGGCAGCGGTCTTTAAATAATTGAGTCTGGACCAGATAATCCAGTGATCAACAGCATGAGCATCGATCTACGCTTTGCTTACCAAGTTAAAAAAGTACATCAAGTTTTTCTTGTCCCATAAGTCCTCCATTACTGAAATGCTGCCAGAATGAACTTGTCTACGGGTCCCTTCCCAACTTGTCTACCCGCTCCCTTCCCAACTTGTCTACCGGCCCCTTCCCAACTTATTATGAATGCATGCAGCTGCAAATACAGCACTGTGAGCATCTGATGAAATGAAAGCAGTAAAGCCCAACGGAGTCAGTAAACAGCTACACACCACTACTATAATGAGGACACTATTGACAGGCTATATGACTGTTAGAGGAATGAAATGAGAGCTTACTTTCTGCTGCGGGAGAGAAGTCGATGGTGGCAGGGGCTTGTCTCTGTCCCTCAATGGAAGTAGGACAGAGGACGTTGACGGCTGCATGGACTGAAACGCAGATAGGTAAAACATATATCAGAGGTGTTTGGCAACTTGTGGTGCTATGCAATCATTGAATGGTGTGCAAAATAGCTCTTGTCTTTGGTTAGCAAAATTATCAATTGAAATTTTAGCCATAGTGTTTTTATGAGCACTTCTTTGTTGAATAATAATCAAAAGTTTTCCTATGTCTTTACATTTAATAAAACAAAATTAGTAACTAAAATTCATATCCATAGCCAACCAAAGTTGCATGACCAGATTTACGCCCCTTCGTATATTTGACTCATCGTTTGCAATTTGGATATAACTTTCTTGCAGAATCAAATGTCTCGAATTATAAGCTCATAAAAGCCAGTGAAATTTGAAAATGGCTAATGACTTTTAAGGACAGCTAGCCACAAGACCATACTTTGAGCTATAACACACTAGGATTGGAGTGATGTGGCTGGATCGTAAAAGTTACAAATGATCTCGTAAGAGCTATGTTCCCAATTCTCAAGATAACAAACTATTTTTTAAATGTTTCATACAAGAATGTTCCTTGCCCTGTTCAATCTCTACAGATGTCCTACAGACTGTGATACTGGGTTTTGGGCTCAGAGATGTTTGTTTCACAATTACAAGAAGTTTTTGTTGAAAAGGCTAAAGATTTTTGTTTGAAACGAAGACCTCAGGGAAATGAAAACATTGCAGTACTAACAGAGTTTGTCATTTATTTCCAAATAACTTTGAAGTGTCAGATGAGAGCAAGCTCTTTTATTTCCTATGAGAAACAAAATATATTATTATAATTCAAAAACATTTCAGTGTGCCCCTTGGCCTATTTCAAGAGTAGCTTAGGAAAATAAGTTTCTTCAAACCTCACAGAAAGAGTTGGTTTTTCAAAACATTTTTGCTTTCCTCTTTCCTCATGTCTGCCTGAACACTTATTATCCTTTTCTCTGATAATATTTCAAATTTAAAAAAGAAAGAAAGACTGTTCTTAGAGGAGTGAAAAATAATTACAATTGCAACTAAATCTTGATAAATTTGAACAAGATGCAATTAATTAACACTTCTTTTAAGAAATAAACATTGGAGAATGAAAATAAGCCCAGCAGAAAAAGTCGGTTATAAAACAGTAATACTGAACTTGTTACTCAAGGGTTTGGATTTCATTTCCGAAGAAAAAAAAGGAAGTTTTTTCCTAGTATTACAACCGAGAAAACCCACGGCATCAAAGAATTCAGCAGCTTTGTGTCACAGATAAAGATAATCACGTCATGTTTTCTGAACTACAGTTCTGAATCTCTGAGCGGACATCAAAGTGTCTGGGGAGTATACGAACAAGAATCAATTTCAACTTGTCACTTTGATTCATTCACGTTTTTTTCGGCAAGTCTTTGAAATTCCAAACAAAGTGCTAACATTAAAGTCACCAGTCAACACAGTTAGCATTTGATCTGCTCGGCACCGATGGGAACATCAACGAAAAACCTCCTTCCGAAAAAAACACCAGAATTTCTCAAGTTGCCAATGGAGTAGTGTTTTGAAGTTTTATCTTGCAACAAGGAACAATTATATTGCCTCTGCATCCTTTGATAATCACGCTTTCTTTGATGAATATGTCCGTCACTAAGCAGCAAGTGTTACGCTCTCGTTTTCCTTTGTTTTGAGATGCTATCGATGTAGGAACATTTGTAATGAATATACTCTCATACTCGAAAAGTTCCATTGATAATTGTTAAAATCATATTATGGAAGGCGCCTGTTATGTTTTCCTTTAAGTTAAAAAGCTGTGATAGTAATCTCAAGAAACACTTATGTTAGAAAGAAGTTGGGCAATTAAGTACTTGGGGAAGTAGGCCTTTTAATGACATACGTTCCTGTTTGAGACTCTTATGTCCAAATTGCTACAAGGGCAGAGATGTAGGAAGTATGTGTATTTGGTTTCAGGTAAGCCTGAATGTCTGTTCTAAGAGAGGAACGTTTTCACCAAGTAAGCTTTCTAAAAATTCTGCAATGTGGTTACTTTCAGTCCAGTGCATACTCCATATTGTGTCTAAATTAATTGTGAGTGAGTATGGTTTTACGCTGCTTTTAGCAATATTCCAGCAATATCACGGCAGGGGACACCATAAATGGGCTTCATACATTGTACCCATGTGGGGAATCGAACCTGAGTCTTCAGCGTGATGAGCGAATGCTTTAACCTTTATGCTACCCCACCGCCCCTAATTAATTGTCCTAGTTCAGTGTCAACCTTCACAATTTCAGCCTGACAACTTGTTCACCCACAGTTCCTGATCCTGTTCTTAAAAAACTAATAATTCTTTGATTCTTTTGGCACTGTAAATTTTTCTTCAAAATACCACTGAATATAATACCGTGACAATATGAGATATATCACATGCCACCACAGACATGACAATGAAATGATAGAGCAAAAGGCTGCATTAAAAGAAGAAAAAATGTTTCTCAGGCATATTTTGCTAAAAAATGAGGAAGCCATTAGGAAGTATTAATTTTTAAAAGCAAAAGTTATTTCTACCAAGATTTAAAATAAACGTTACTGGACATACATCCCTCTGGCCTCGTATACCATGTTAGTTCGGTATTATGTACATATAATTAGCTATGTTTTATGAATATTTTTGTTTACTTGACAATAAATATGACTGATGTGAAGATCTCTCGAAAGTGATGATCTGCTGCTTGAGAAACATTTTCTACTTTTAGCCGTATACTATACAAGCTTAGTGTGATGGTATGATGAAGCAACTATACCAATGTCTTAACTATTTAGTATGATGTTATGAGTCGTATCTACCGCTCCCAGTGAAGAAGTTGAGGAATAACCATGATGTACTCACCCTAACCTTGGGTTGGAATGCACCGTGCAGCCCCGAGGTGAGGTGATTGGCAGTAGGTCCTGGGGGCAGCAGAGACGAGAACCCTGGGTAGGGTGACGGCATCAACTAAACAAACAAAGAACATAGTCAACATTTGGACTCACAAATAACAGAATGGTAAGTGTGTTGGTTGGCTTCCCTCATCAAGGTTTCAATACGCTAATGGGATCGGGTGACGAATTTTGTTGTTGCATGTCATTATATCCTAAATGCATATAAATGCTCACAATATCAACCACTTGGTTGTCAGGGGCAACATGATAATTTACAGACCACATTCATATAGCTGGAATATTGCTGAGTGTGGTGTTAAACAAGAAAACAAGGATCTTGAGCAAACACATCCTGGAGTGAGTGCGTTTGGTTTTATCCCATCTTAAGCGATATTCAAGAAATATCACGGTGGGGAACACCAGACTGATGGACTTTGCAAATTGTGCCCATGTTGCAATTGGGAAAAGATGCCGGGTCTTAAGTGGGATGGGAAAACGCCTTAACCACTAGGCTACCCTACTGCCCTAACGCACCCTGGAGGAAACGAACCAATGTTCAAAATGGTGGAGCACTTTAAACATTAGACTATCACTACTAATGGTTGTGGATCACTGGCCCTTTAAGTGATGAAATACAGCGGAAGGATGGAGCCAGACCAGGTCGATATAGTGCCATGTCTGAAGAAATGGCAGGAGAAATCCCCAAATGTCATTAATAGTTTGCATAAGGGACTTCAGTGATAGCATGACCAACAAATGGGACATGGCTTCCTACAGCAATATATGGCAATACATCTAAGCAAGACATGATATACTCACACTTGGCCGATACAGACTGTCGTATGCCTTTGGAATTTTATCAAACTGAAAGAGAAAAGCACTGAAATTAGTCCAGTGTGAAATGAAACATTTTCACATTTTTATATGTAGCAATCATGGATATTTCCTGTTCATAGTCACTGAATGAGAAAGGCTTTCTGCAATACCCAAGATAAAAAGAACAAGATATCACATTGTACGAAGACCAAACAGTCTCCTACATAATACAAAGACCCAATAATTCTCATGTGATACTAAAACTCAAATATTCTCTCAAATTACATGAAGATCCAAATAGTGTCCGATAATACCAACATCCGAATAGTCTCTTATTTGACACCAAGACACAAATATTCTCCTAAGATACTGAGAGACCCCTATGAATTCCGTGAATGCATTCTGAGATGCCCAAATGCTTGATCGTCAAAGATGCTAATGGATGAATGCGTCTCCTACCAGATGAGGGGGTGGGGTCGGCACGAGTGAGGGTGGCGGCCCCAGGGCGTTGTAGTGTTGATGCATGTGTTGATGATTGTGAAGATGCTGATGCTGGTGATGAGTTGTTTCGCTGCGGATGTAGGGGGTTGGCCCGATTGGCTGACTTGTCTCGCGGTTGTGGGCTAGGATACGATTATTGAGATCCTGATGTAGAAAGTCTTGATCTGGAAAAGAATGACATCATGAAAGTGGCATTCAAAATGTTCAGTTATGACTAATTGTTGACAAATTTTCGGGATAGCTTCACATGGCTTCATCAGCTTGTAGGCGGAACCCGGAAATAATGCAAGTCTCAGACACGTTCTCTTGTGAGATCGGATTCCGTTGCAGAAGTCAACTCCACTGAATCCATGAGTAAACAACAACTTTCTACATGGAGTGAATATCTTGTACCTTTCTGAAAGATTCATCACAGCATCACCTTGGATTGGTTCCCTTTCTACTTACACTGTTACAGCATGACCTTCACCTTTCACTTCATTCATTTTACCTCCAATCAACATGGCCGACTGGCAACCAATACAAACATAAATCTTGTCAAGGGCCAATTTTACCCAGACAATGAATCATTATTTACATTTACTGGGAGCAAAGATATGACACTAACCATTCTATTTTCAGTGCATTAAAACATTTGAAAACAACATCTCGCCATTTATTTTTATCATTATCAAATTCTCCACGAATAACATATACATATCAAGTAAACAAGCGTAATTTGTCAAATATACCACCCAAAGGCGTTATATCAACAGAAGCATCCCATCTCAATATGCTGTACGCATAAACAGACCCTACATTGTTGTTCAACTTGTAGTCTGCCACTCCAGAAATGACATATTAAGCTCTTAATTTCCTCAGGGATGTCATATCACTGTAAGTAGAAAGGGAACCAATCCAAGGCGGTGCGGTGATGAACGGAAATCCCTATCAGTCTACCGCAGACCTCGCACCACATGCCATCGCAGATAGCTCGCTCGACAGGAAAAACCAAAAACACTTTCACTCCCATTACATCCTAGTGGCAAGTTACCCCACAATAACTGCTCAGCAGTATGTAGTCTGATACAAATCCAAAACAAGAATTGTACAATAATTCTCTTGTTCTTATCCCCCAAGATTACATGGGGTTTCTATTGCTAAACTTTGAAGATACTACATTTTAGAGTCTATTAATAAATGACCTGGGTGTTTATCAACATGACGCAATCTTTCAAAAACAGTAAAAATCAAAATGAAACATCTCAGATTCATGAACAATCCAAATTCTGTTCAGTCTGTTTATGATATCACTAAAATAAAAAATACATGCTATGACCAAGCACGTAGACTGATGGATTTCAACCAATTTATTTACTTCTGAATGATAACGTAAAATTCCTCACAGTAGATTAAATACTTTTTGCATCAATCCCCTATATACATGGAAGAGTCAATTGGAAAAGTCTACCTCCAACAAGCAAAGTGCCAATGACAATTCCAAGCTGATCTATACACTGAAAACAACTTGCCTGATGAACGTGGAATGTCTCTAATGCTTAAAAAACACCACTTTTTCCCTTCCAAAACATTTGTATCTTAACACAGAAATACATCAATTCTGGCAAAACACTTTCTTTTCTGCAGTTTATTTCTTTAACCTGCTGAATAGATATCGTTAGCAGTTGCTATTTTCATTCTTCATCTTAATGACTTCCACTGTTTGCGCTGACATCTCGAGACCAAGAAGCTTTCAAGATTTCTTGAAACGTTATTTTTTTCAGTTCATGCTGTGAGATCGTTTTCCCAAGCTGTAAGCTATGAATCTGCATTGTTTTCTAAATACTTGTGACAACAAATCCTTATGTTTTGGTTGAGTAAATCTAACCTCACGAAACTATGGACGCATTTCAACAGAAAAAAGCTATTTTTCAAACAATTCATGGTGTGAAAATAAAATCGCAAAAAATCCATGACATGAATTTTATGTTCTATTCATCATACTTTCAACTAACATGTTGTGTTAACAAAATAGGAAACGAAAACACATCAATACGTTTGACTGCCACAGAAACGTCAAGTGAACAGTGAATCCCGCTGTTTTGAACAATATTTCATTTGTGATAGAAACAAGATGACTTATCTATGATTGAAACCCTGAACCCAGTTTCTGGTATACCCAAGGGAAGTAACTCTGCATAGCAAATCTAACACCTTAGATGACACTGCCACCTGTACTAGAGGTAAACAAGATTACTATCTCATAATGCAATTTACCTATTTGGTAGGCGTGATTACACACATATTACTCAACAACCTTATCTCGGAAATCACGAAGGACAGAGTTCGCAAAATGAATAAAATTAGACCCAAAGACCCATACTGTAGGGGAAAAACTTCCCTTGGTAATAGTACTAATACTTTCCCCAGGGGCTGAATTTACGAGAAAAACATCCCATAACATGGTGTACCGCCAAATAAGATACCCCAAGTTGCTCTTATCCGACACATGATCAACAGGGGGTATTTTACACAGACATCGCTCATCCAATTACTTAATCAGACTTCTAGTTGATCTTAAAAGCTTTGTTGAAAAACTAACCAACGTGGAGTGATAAACAGACTTGACTGTAAAAAGATCATGTCTGGTTATGTGGTACACACTACCAAGCACTTAACCTCAAATACTATTATCCTACCACCGCTGACGAGAGCTCTCCCCTTCAAATACAATTATACTGACAACACTACATTATTTACAGGGTTGAGGAGGATCAGTATCAGACAAATGGATTACTGTATACCACGTAATAACTGACCCACCTCACAAATTCTCCATTACTGACAGAAGGTGATTAGACGTTAACCTTCTTTCTGGACTAAGGGGTGTAGGGTAGACGAATCACTAAAGCATTCACTCCGCACATGGTTCACTCCCACCCAATCCCCTTAGCTGCCTCTTACAACCAAGTCAGCAAGTCTGACCACCCGATCCCCTTCGCTGCCTCTTACAACAAGCATCGGTTGCTAAAGACCAATTCTACCCGGATCTTCATGAGTGATGAACATAACCTTGCAACATGTTGAACATACTGACTGGGATTATCAAGTTATTCCAACGACTCCCAACAGTCAAATACTGAAATATATTAAAACCAGATTCCAGTTAAAATTGACCGCCTCCGTGGTGTAGTGGTTAGAGCGTCCGCCTAGAGAGCGGAAGGTCGCGGGTTCGACCCCCAACCGCGTCATACCAAAAGACGTTATAATATGGTACTTGTTGGTCCCTGCCTGGCGCTCGGCATTAATGGGTATCAAGCATCAAGGACTGGTCGCTCGGAGTCAGTATAATGTGTCTGAGTGGGGTATTCATGCTTCACTGCGGCATGGTATCTCAGTGGGCTAGCACTATAAAACCAGCTTCAGTCTGGGCTAGTACAAGCAGCCGCACATACACATACACACGCATGCACGTCGTCATATCAGAGAAATATTCTCAAGCACGACGTTAAACCCAATTTCACCTCACCTCAGCTCCAGTTAAAATTGCTGTTCTCATAATCACAACCCATATTGAGATAAATACGGTATTCTAACACTATTCCTCTGCTTTGTCAGTACTGAATATTTGCATAATCTGCCCACGAACAAATACATGTGATGTGAATCCCATAATTTCCTTACAGACAAAACAGAATGTCCACGATGAAACTTATTTTAAAAAGACAATTTCAACACGTTTGGTATGTATGAAAGTACCAAATGACCCCCGCTTTCCGTCTAATTACTTGAAACGAACACCAGATTGCATTTAATTCCAGGTAACATATGCTGAGGTTGTAGGTGCCGACAGACACTGCGGATATGTGACATTACCCAGCTGTGTGTGCCACAGATAGCCACTCGTCATGGCGGCCTGCTGGCAAACTTGCCATCATTGTTTGTTTAAAAGTTTCAAGAGAGAGGGTGTGTATTCCCAGTGTGTGTGTGTGCCAAGCACTTTTCCAACCTGCCAAAAGTGAGGAGGGATTGAAAGATAGAAAGCTTTCAGTCGCCAATAGAATGAATTATTCACGCATACAGGGCCATGTAGCGCTGTCAGTAGCGTGGGGAGTACAGTGAAGACATTTTGAAAAATCTAGGAAGTGCAACATTTATGAAAAAGATCTAATAATGAAAGATGAAATGAAGATTAAGATTTTGTGCTATCAAGTTTCACATGTCGCAGGTGCTTTGATAACGAAAATTTTCAAATTAATAACACAATCAAAACTTTTTCCTTCGTTTTTAGCGCTGATTCTCTGTGCCAGGATATGCAATGTCATTAAGTTCTTAAAGCCAGTCACAACCAGCCTGAACCAGAATCAGTGGGATTAACCAGTTCAGAACAGTACTGCAGTCATTTCACAACATGTCAGTTAATTTTTAATGAACACCCAAAGTGATGCAAGACTTCGACTTGGTGACATTAATAAGCAGGAGAATGGTGCCCCCAAACCCTTAGATTACTATCAGAGTTAATTCTGAATTTGAACCTGTGATGACTGACTGACTGACTGACTGAGTTTGGTTTTACGCCGCTTTTAGCAATATTCCAGCAACATCACGGCAGGGGACACCAGAAATGGGCTTCACATGTTGTACCCATGTGGGGATTCGAACCCAGGTCTTCGGCATGACGAGCCAACGCTTTAACCACTAGACTACCCCACCGCCCTTTTTCCAGAAAGAAAGAAAGAAACATGAACTCACTTCTGATGATAGGCTCGTTGGCGAAGTGGTTGGCTGGAGCTGCGACTGGGGTGAGAGCGGTTGACGTTAGCGGTGGTGGTCCTGGCGGTATGGGGGGTGCGAACATGCTGTGTGAAGGATGGGGTGGGGTCGTATGTTGGATGGGGGACTGGGCGACACTGTGAGGGGGAAATGAGGGGCCGTGGGGATGAAGGGGGTGGAGGCTGGGGGAGTGGAGGCTCGGGGAGTGAGCAAGGGGATGATGGCCACTGTACAGGTGGTTGCTGACCGAACTGAAAACAAACCAGAAAAATGTTACATGTTGCGAATATATAATCGTGAAGGAAGATGCGGTCATATTTTACAGCTTCATCAAAATCCTTACAACAATTTGTCTATAGAGATACGTTTCCAATAAAGTATCTTCAGATACTTTAAAAAAAAAATATTTTTGCTGATCACAGAAAATCACAACAAGAATCAACACATTGAACACCATCATTATTGGAGTGAGTGAGTGAGTTGGGTTTTATGCCGCTTTTAGCAATATTCCAGCAATATCACGGCGGGGGGACACCAGAAATGGGCTTCACACAATGTGCCCATGTGGGGAATCGAACCCAGGCCTTTGGCGTGACGAGCGAACGCTTTAACCACTCGGCTACCCCACCGCCCCCCTCATTATTGGAAAGACCTTTAACTGAAAGCCTTTAAATTTTGAAAAGTCATCAAAGATACTTACGGTGGCCAGAGAGATGGCTTTGAGAAGGGCAATGACCCTGGGAATAAATTATGATGAGAGGAGATTTCTCTCTCCCTCTCACGTTGCTCTCTTTCCCTCTGTTCCTTTTCTCTCTCCCTCTCTCTATCACGCTGATGTTGATGCTGATGTGGGTGAGGGGCGTGTGGATGAGGATGACTATGTGGGTGTGGATGTAGATGAGGTGCTGACTCGTCCCTCCTCGGGGTCTTCACTGGTGGAGGGGTGACCTTGACAGGCTCTCGCGACACTACCACTGGGGGTGGGGGTAGTTTCTGCTTAGGAATGGGTACAGGTGACTGGCGTGGGGGAAGGGGTGACTGGCGTGGGGGCGGAGGCGGCGGTGTTGGCGTGGGTCGGCGGCTCAACACCGGAGACACCAGAGGCCGTGAGGGTGGCCGACATATGGTAGTTGTAGTCAATGCCGGTGATGTTGTTGGCGTGCTACAGGTTGTTGTTGTTGTTGTTGCAGTTGTTACACTGATTGTTGTACTGGGTGTTGTTGTAACAACTGCAGTGCCGTTACATGTAGTTGCTGGTGGTGTTGGTTGTTGAGGAGGAGGTGGTGTGAGAGGGATTGTCGGTGCAAGTCGCTCACTGGATGAACCTGTAAACAATAATCATAATGTTTAATACAAAATTACAGGTAAGTAACATATAAATTATTATTATCCAATAATAGTATTATAGTATTATCCAAGTCTCTAATGAGTGAATGAGTGAGAATGTATGGTTCTATGCCACTTTTAGCAATATCACGGCAGAGGACACCAGAAATGGGCTTCACATATTGTACCCATGTGGGGAATCGAACCTGGATCTTCGACGTGACGAGCGAACTTTCGCTACTAGGCTACTCCACCGCCAAAGAGTCTCTAATGACAAAGGTTACAACTGTCTACTTAGCCAAGTAAATCATTAATACAGTAATATACAGGTCTAACATTTGTTTGTTTGTTGTTTAACGCCACACTCAGCTATATTCCAGCTATATGGTGTCAGCATGTAAACAATCAAATCTGGACCAGACAATTCAGTGATCAACATCATGAGCATTGATCTTTGCAACTGGGACATGATGACATGTGTCAACATGTTACCGAGTCTAACCACCTGATTCTGTTAGTCGCCTTTTACGACAAGCATGGGTTGTTGAAGACCAATTCTAACCCGGATCTCAGTTTTAACAAACTCAAAGGGACCATTAATTTCAGTTCTTTACTATAGTTTGTTACAGGCATTTCAAAAAAATATAAACAGCAAACCAGTTTGTTACATCCATTAATAAATGTCGGTTACTGCACATCATAATTCCACAAAACACATAGCAAAAAGGTCTTAATAATCAAATATATTTTATTTGTCATTAAATTAGGTAAGGTGAGGTGAGGTGAAATTGGGTTTAACTTCATGCTTGAGAATATTTCGCTCATATGACGACGTGCATGCATGTGTATGTGTATGTGCGGCTGCTTGTACTAGCCCAGACTTAAGTTGGTTTTATAGTGCTAGCCCACTGAGATACCATGCCGCAGGGAAGCATGAATACCCCACTCAGACACATTATACTGACTCTTAGCCGACCAGTCCTTGTTGTACCCATTAATGCCGAGCGCCAGGCAGGGACCAACAAGTACCATATTATAACGTCTTTTGGTATGACGCGGTCGGGGATCGAACCCGCGACCTTCTGCTTTCCGTGCGGACGCTCTAACCACAACACCACGGAGGCGGTCAAATTAGGTAAGGAATACATTTATCATGAAAGTCAGTTAAAAAGTGAGACATCTAGGAATACAATAGCCTTTACAGGGCTTGATTTATCCATGTAAAACATGCACCAATGCAACCCATCAGTCGTAAGTTCAATGTTTATGCCTACATGCACTACACTTGGCGATTCGGATGATGTCATATCCCACTTGAGTGGATCAGTAATCATGCTATGGAACAATGGATTGTCTGGAATGTATCTGATTATTGCAGACAGCTGTCATATAGATAGAATATTGCTCAATGCAGCATTAAGCAACGACAAAAAAAGATAGCATGAATGTTAGGTAGCAGTTTGTCCTATTTCCGAGGCAATAGTAACACACAATATGGCGGACCGTGGTGATCTGGGATCCAATATAGACTGATAAAACAAATGATACTTGGTAACACAATTCATTTTTGATCGACACCTCTGGGGCAAACACATCTAAAGACACATACATCCTTACAAGTTATTTTTTAAATAGACACGTCCATGTTTGAATAAATAAACCTGAAAAAATCCCAACAACCTGCTCTTGCTATAGAACATCTCTTTCGGAACACTTCATGTTGTTCGCCCCGGAGACATAAGCAGGAATAATTCATCACAAGCTTCAACACAGCTCCATTATCAATCATGCTGCCATCACTCAAAACGAAAATAACTTAAAAGCTGCCTCCATCTCCAAAAGTCTGCAGGAGTATTTATTATTGTTTTCACAGGTTTAATAATTCCGAGAATGAACTTGTTTGAAAGGCAGTATTTATTTGCGATCCCCAACTCCAACTATCCCTTATTTGTTTGTCTTTACTCCTACGTCCATTGCCAACCTTCTCCAGCTGCCGAGAACAGCAGGCGGAAAAACACTGCATATCGCCTGTGCAACACTATAAACCAGAATGACAACCACAGACAAAACATTGCAACAAGACAAAAACAAATCTGTCGAGAGACCCTACAAGTTGAGACTTATTTATATCCAAGAAAGAGATAAAGAGCTGGGGAAAAACTTTCCCAAAAGCATGCTTAACAAAAATAGGCGCAATAGGTTGCGAGGCATTCAAAACAAGTTTGATAAAGAACGCATAAGCTGTATAACGACTACACGAGGTAGGAAAGGGTGTAATCTGCCAACTATGCCAAACTGGTGAGAATGCCAGCCGATCCCTCGTCAAGATGGGAAAAAGTTGTGAAGACATCTTGGTAATTCACATCAGTGAAGGTGAACGAAAAACATGCTATTTATCACAGAGGGGGTAAAAATACACCACCAGGGGGAGCTGCTGCTTTGGAAATTCGGTATCTTCAAGCCTGTGAGTTGCAGGAGATTTGGAAATTCTGCAGTGTAAAACATTATCTGTGGGCTATCTGTGATCCCCGGTGTCAGTTATCTCAATCCTTCTGGCGGAATCTGAACAAGTCTATCTTCCATCACCGACACCCAAAAACATGCTTAGGTTCTTGATATTGTTGTGGCATATCTTTTCCTGATACCGAGTCCATGCTTACAGAGATAAGACGTTGAAAAAAGTCGCTTGTATCCTGGTGAAATGGAAGCAAGGAAGAAGCATTTCTTGTCTCATCTAGTGCAGGAGCCCATCTGGTTAGTTCATGGATTCAAGGAAGGAAAGTGTACTTTTCAACAAATGACGCCATTTTTTATGCAGCTAATCATCTAGTTTTTCAAATACTTTGTTTTCTGATCATTATTTTTCTTGTAATCATCTTTTTATTTCATCTCACATTCTTTTGTATTAAGCAGTTCTTCTAAAACACTTGTTCCAATGTGTTGTAAGATTCAGGATCGGAAGAGCCAGATTGATACCTTGTGATATTGACTTCACTCCTCGTGATTGTAACTCTGGACACATGCGTTGGCATTGGAATGGGAATTCACAAATTTGTTTCAAATTTCAATTGCACCAGTTCTTCCTTCATCCCAGAGGAATTATCCAAGGAATGAAAAACCTCCTTGATTCCTATCTTTTTCAAGTAATTGTTGAAGGAAAGCAAGTCTTGTGGAAACATTCAAAACAAAGCATGTGTTAGTCAGGGGGAAAAACAAGTACCAAATTGACAGACACACAATCTATGGGCTTACGTGGAGTCAACTCGCTATTTTTTCATCTGATGTAAGCCGATAAAGAACTTTTTCAATGAATTCCTGAACACCGTAAATTGGATCTAGAAAACAACTTTTACAGATGACTATTTTTAAGAGACGAGCTGCCGATATTTACTGTCATTTTTTTTACCCTGTCTATTCAACTGCAGACAAAACAGAAATACACTTGGTGGAGATCAGAAAAACATACAAAACCCATCGTACTGATCTATGACAATGACCTTGAACTTGCACAAACTATTTTGAGTTACCTTTGCCATACAGAATGTTTATAACAAAAAAATCCATGACCTCATTCAAAAAATGTGTACCCTAGCAAAAGTGTTAAGTCCATCTGCAAGCAAGTTTGGTGAAATATGTTTTTGAGAATATCATTATATCGGAGTAGTGTTGTAATGTTTTAGCGTTGAAAATGTTCAGCTATTTCTCTTAAAGCTGAGGTATTCATGATTGAAAAGTCAAATCAAACTCCCATTTTGTTAACCGTCTGAAGCTATACTGATCTTAAACTCACAATTACAAAAATCACCCAAAACATCCTCATTTGACAAGTCCAAAAACTAAAAATACAATCCCAGAAAAAAAGACACATGCTAAAAATTTCATGTTTGCCATATCTGCAAAGCATCAAACTGAACCGACAGGTTTCAAAAGCATGCCATTTTATACAAGACAGCACTAAAGCTGAATGAGATTTATTTGAAATGTTTTAATTATTTAAATCATGATAGTGATGAAGCTGGTATGGATACTTCAACATCTTGAAGACCACGACGTCATTGAACGTCAGTTTACATCCGAAACATGTCCATATCGAGGATATTTGTCAAGTCGCTTTCCTCTTAACTTGGTTCAATTGCAAAGGTTATCAGCAGAGAGTAAAAACCCTGTATCACCATCATCCTTGAATGTGATAATCCCTATATTGACCATCAACTCTCTCTCTAATCCCAACTATCCAATGAGAGGCTTTGCCGAATTTCAGCAATGTCTTGAGGAAATCTTCTACGGGGCTTCTCAGGAATCCTCAGGCCAGCTTTTGGCATTGTCAAACTTTCTTCAATCCTTCAATGAATGCATCGAGTTTAGCTCAATCCTTCTACAATTAGCTCAGAGATTACCACGGGATAAAACGAATGAGCGGGGCTTCTTATTCAAAGAGAAGACGAAAAACTGTTTCACTTTGGGCTGCCGTACATCGAGTCCCTTATGCCGAGAGGAAATCCCTTTCGATTTCACCAGCGATTGCGGCTTCTCATGGTGGTGAGTCGACTCATCCTCTTGCCCCATGTGTCAACAACAAGCAGCTCCACGAGGAATGTCATAGCTTACTGACATAGGCACTGATGTAACTGCAATGCGAACACTTTGTGTATCGTAATCTCACAGAATCTGCCTCGTACTCTTCTGCCAGGGAGGTAAATTCCACAATTTGAAAACTGCCAAATGCTGAGTGCTACTGGCGTCTTGCGAGTTTGATTTGAGCATTCTATACGAAGTCATTCAATGGCTCAATGTGGAGTAAAATGTTTGGAAAAAACTCCACATGAATAGAGAAACGTTAAATTCCAATATGTCTTTTTGTGCTAGATCAAAGACCCGGTGATTAAATCTTTGCCAAGATTAAAGCCTGGGGAAAAATGGCCTCAAAAGGATCATGACATATTCAAAATCCATATAAAAATACTGACCTTTGGAAAAAGTCAGGATTGTAAAAGCATCATGGTTGATGATTCTTTTGAACTTTGCTGAGTTTAAATAATATTTCTCCAAGATTGATGAGCAAAATAATTTGAAGCAGCATTTTTAAGAGGCAAGAATGCATTAACATAGCCAAAGCATTTTGTTGGCCTTTGTTGTAAACGCAGGTTGCCATGAAATGGGTTTTGAGAGCTATTCAAGATTGCCAGCAGCCATGCCTACAAAGTGAATTAATGATAAACCTTGTTAAGAGTGCCATACCACTTCGTACTGGGGATCATCTTCATATGGATATGGGAAATATTTCTTCTCTGATGTTGGTCCAATTTTTTAAGATTTCAAACCAGAGCGGATATTGGTATACTAATTCATTAATCAAAGCACACGTTTATAAATATTGATTTCAACCAAAGAAATACTTGCATGGAATGTTATCTGATAATTTGATTTCTAAATACCCTTGGGATTATAACTGTACCGGAAATCATTTTCATTGACAAATTATCTATAAAAGTGATAAAAATCCTTCAAAAATGATGTAAGCCATTTGTGTTCTATGAATCATATTAACATAAAACTTGTTGCCTGTAGCTGTAAACTTGCAATGAAATGTTAAATAACAATTGCTAATTACAACTACTGGCTGCTGTCACTACAATAACACACTGATGTATCACCAAAGGTTAGATAACAAGTGCCCAGCGGAAAACAATTCTTACCAGTACAATGTATTATGATGTGAATCTTGCTGGAGATTGAAAGACACAAACTAGAAAATCCTTCAGATGATACATGAAACATGCTCCCAAATCCTTTCCATTCCACGGATGGTTTCCGTGTCCCCAATTATGGACAGAATCATTGCAGCCTCGTCTCCTTTCAGGTTTATGTCCAATATTGGCCAAAGTATCCGAACAATGGGTGTCTGGCTGTAGAGTAGTCCCACCACAAAGGCAAACGAGTGAATTGAATTAAGGTAAGCATGTGCGGGATGTGCGCTTATCCTTCCTTGGCAACTCTCCACTGCTGCGACTTTGCTGTGGAACCATTCCAGGGACATGTAATCGGTGTTTGTTATTGAAAGTGACAGCAGGGACCCTGATCTGGCGGCAGGGATGACAGCAGATTGACCACCTCCATGATGGACGGTCTGGCCTGAACAGGGAGGCCCAGGATTCTCCCTGTTGGGCCTATCCAGGCACCCTGAGGAGGCAGCAAATCATCTCCCCAGCTTGTTTATTGACTTAGCTAATTATCTCATTACACACTGGCTTTCCAGGCTGCTGATGAGCTGTGTAAAGCTGCTGAAACAATTGCCAAATCTGGAGTCAATTAGCAGAGGTGTTGAGGCATGATTAGTCTATTAGCAGCCGGCAAGGGCGGCCATCTTGAATTTGGGCAGGCTTTACCTAGGGGACCTCCCGTCTTCTCATGGTTACTGAATAAATTGGACAGTATTGTTATGAGGTGACAAGGGAGGGTTATCCAAGAAAATGTGCTCATTGGAGGGATTTTATTTGATAGCATGGTAACTGGGAGCTCTAGGGAGATTATTTGATGGCTAGGGCAACAGGGGACCTCCAATTTTCCAGCTGATTCCGGATGGTTGAACCCTGCTGGGGCCAGGTGCAGGATGATTGTCAGAAGTCTCCTCGCCAAGGAGGAGGCCCAGAGTAGAGGTGGCAATAAAAAGTGAAATTGAATGACAAATCAATAAATAACAGTCCTCCTCTAAATGAGGCTTGTATTAATCTTGGATAACATGGCAATTTCCTGGAGAGCTAATTGTGATGAACCTCCAGTTACTCATTTCTTCTCATGTCAGAAATTGAAATGGCAGTTTCAAAAGCAATGAATCGATGGAAATATTTGGTCACTTCTGACATGCTGATCAACATTTTCTGGCAACACTTTCCCCCTATTTTTACCCAAAATATTGATGCGGAACTTTTCATATGGAACAAAAGCAAAGTCGCATTTTCAATACTAAGGTTACATACCTTATTCTGACAGGAACAAATTGCTGATCCAACAGGCATAACAAGGTCAATGCAAAATAATATATCACAACAAAGATATGGCCTGATATTCCTTTTCTATGGAGGAACTTTTCCCTAGATTCCTCAGACAGCAATATCTGTGAAGTCATCCTCATCAGCCATGACAAGTATTTTTGCCCATCATCACTGTGATGCCATTATCAGTCTGATAATGAGAAGCTCGGTGAATTGTTGGGGGCCAGCTTTCCACTCCGGAAAGGTCAGGGGAGCGATGTCTCGCATTTACACATTTGGTGGCAGCCATGGTATAGCTCTTTCCAGGGCTCCATCAAATCAAAATCACATTCCTCCGGCCCAGCGATCCACCTTTTCCATGGCCTTATCTTAATCAGATCGGGATCCTCTCCACTAGAAAATTGCTGCAGATAGTTCTCAATCAAATCAGGCTATCCCTAAACACTGCTGGAGCACAAGCTGTCTTCAACAACAAGGGGAGGGCTCACGTCTGACAACCAAGCTTCTCACTTTCTCCACTCCATTTAACTCATCTCAGGGGCCTCTTGACCCAATACAATGGCCGCAACGACACAAGCCTGGCTCTTCACAACGATTACATTCACTAAAATAACTTCCTTGGCACCAACGAAAGAAATGCTTCCTCGGGCAATTTCCTTGATTTATTTTGTTGCTTGGGAGAATTCACGTCTGGTCAGATAGTAGGGTCTACTCTGGAGCAGCAGTCATCAATGCTAGAAATGAATGGAGATTTGTTCCAAGGGTTTTCTTGTGGCTGTTCGAATTCTCCTGAGCTCGGATGGACCCTTTTATGCACATTAGCCCATTCCTTTGATATTGGTCTCAACGCAAAGATCTGGGATTAACACAGTACGGTTGGCTACGCCCTGACTCAGAGTTTGTTTAGGCCTAGGGAGGCGAACTTAATTCTTTTACATGCTTCACTACCTCAGTGACCAGTCAAGCATGGGTTGAAAGCTTGTGTACATCAACTATCAAATTAATGCTCAGCAGAAGAGGGCTCAGTATTGCATTAATGGCTGTGGAACAGTGGGTGCTTGACTGAAGATTAGTGACTGACATAGATAGCGTTTTGTTAGAGCTGATTACAAGATGTCATTGGCACACGGAGCGTAGTGTTCAAACACTAATACACAAGAGAAAGAGGGGTTGGGGGAAAGTTTCTAGGAGGGGGTTAAAAGGGATATTGGAGACATATTCTCACACCTACTGTATGTTGTCATTGTGACGAGTGTAACAGGACAACCCTTCCCACGATCACTGATCGTAGCATGTCGGAGGTGTCATGCTTGTTATGACCTGCATGACAAACTGAGATGTACGGTAAACAAGCCTTCCACATGCATATGCCCCACACAATGGTTCAAATATTCAGATACTTACGATTATGGTTGACAGTTACGGCGGTGAAGAGATCAGATCCCGATTCAGAGACCTGTAAATAAAAGAAACAATTTTGAACAAAGGAGCCATGAAATATAAAAAAATATCCGATACAATCATTTATCACGAACAATACATTACTTTTCAAACAAAATCTAACCACTAAACAAATACAGAAAAACAACAAAATATTCATAACATACACCTTGACTCCTGAGAATTTCTAGGACTTCAGTCCTGACCCAGAATGAAGCACATGTGATACATGTGGTCTCACCTTAGGCAAGTGAGTTTGTTGCCTCTGTTCACCTAGCAGAAAATGGGTACCAGGTGGGATTAAGTCATATTACTTTTTACCTTCTATCGTGGTGTTATCTTGGGTTATCCGGGGTAATAATAATCACATTGTGCGTTTAGAGCAGGATATGAAGCCGCTAAAGGCATGTTATAAATAGTCTTCTTCTTTGTCTTCTTATATTTATTATTACTACAATTAAACACAACACAGGGAAGACCTAAAGTTTATCTGTCACTCTTCAAGTAGCTGTGTTAACGTTCAGAATCAAATTGGCAATTTAACACAGTCAACCTCTTAATAGTTCTATATTCAGAACATCCATAGAATTGCATTAAGCTCTGTAGAGCCATCCCTCTAATCAGACAAGTGACAGACGCAGATGTTATTTGCGAGGTGATTCACTTTCTCGAAATCAACACAATTAGATAAAACAAAAAATGTCGATATCACATCTTTGACAACTTCCTTTCTGGAACATTGCATGTGGCAAACAGCAACGCTAAACACGCGACATTGGGCTGAAATCCTCTGCTCCATCTAACCAACTCGACATTCTTCAGGGTACTCAGCGAACTGACATCTAATACTATGATCTAAATGTAGTTTCTGACAGGCGATAACAAAAAAAAGTTAGCAAGCTTTTTGCGCAAATGAAAACTGAAAGTTGTCGGATTTGGTGACATGTCTCCAAATGGGAACGATCACACCTTGCTCACTGCGGCAATTTTCTCTCCAGGTGACAAAGTCTCAAAACGACAGATAAAAAGCGATAATGTATTGAGAGAAGGCTTCCCTCAGGGTAGAATGGTTTTGTCGAGATAATAAAAGAATCTGATACATGTTGCTACACATTAATTCTATCGTTGCAACGATCTAAATTGACTGGTTGATGCCAGCAGTCAGCTGACAAGGACGGGACAGGCTTGGATGCAATCGACATGAACGAAAACGAAAAAAGATTCGGCGTAGCGTTTTCTCGGGAACTGATGCAGAGAGTATCGCTGATAACTGATGCCATGACTGAAATTGACTGATATTGTCACGCTTACTAAATGAATAATGGGCGATCAATAAACGGAAATATTAGAATTTTGAAGCTATGAATATCAACCTTGGTTGAATACTATCTCCACTTTGGTGGGTGTATCTGAGCTGTTGAGAAGAAAACCAAATGGGTGGGTAATTTTTCATTTGGTTTGGATTGGCGATAATATAATACAGTATCTCCCACGTCAATCATCTGATTGCAACATATCACAGCTTGAACAGGTCTCCAGTTTCTTCCGTGACATAGGCAAAGGTGCCGATGGGAAAAGTACAAATGTTATCCAGGTTTGTTTTTCAGTCTCTTGACACGAGTGAAAGATCAGCACGCTGTATATAGATAACCACGCAGGAAGGTCAGAGTTCAAGTGTGGTGGTGGGAATGCACATGTGACACAAAGACAACCACAAAACAGTACAGTGTGTGATACAATGTTGCATGTGGTAAGTGAACCATAAGGTATTTGTCAAGTTGGTGCAGATCAGATTGTGTATGGTTTTGCTGCCTATAGCAGTTACATCAACATAATTGCGGCGTACACCAGAAATCAGCTTCACACCCAAGTGCGGATTAAACAAACTCTCTTGGATTTGAATTCACACAGGGTCAACCAGGAAACCATTACAACTGTTGTACTTCATCAGCTTCATTGACATTAACACAAGATTAAGTCTCGAATCTCTTCTTGACAAGGTAATGGTTCCATCTTCAGGCATTATTACATGTAATACAGACATCAGACAACTTCTGTTCCACATTGTCTCGGCACCAACTGTTTAAGTCAAATAAGGGATAAAGCAGGTTTTCTGTTTGAAATATTATGTATTTTTACATAAAAAGATCTGATTCAATTAATTAAGAGGCAAAACAGTATATACATTAGCCAATTTAATTAGTTGATGACTTAACTAATCAAAAATTTAGATTAAAAAATAGATAAAAAAATGTAGGATTAATAATGTCTACAGAATTAAGATACATATATTCGAATTAATATGAATACTTCACATATTATGTGTGGAAGAAGTGGTGAAATATTCAGGAGAATTTACTTTCACACGACTAAAATGTATTTGCACAGCATGTGGTGCATTCTGAAAAGCATGAATAGATAGTCTCATTTCAGCACACAAATCTCACACCTTCCTAATACTGGGACAAATGCTTGACACTGTGACGACATTAACACTGCAACATACATATATTTGAATAATGATTCATTTCCAAAACGAAAACTATTCCGAAGACGAACCATTCAAGTTTGAATCTTCAAATGAAGACGTCAAGGAATGATGCAACATTAAGCCGCCGGCTATCCCTCACCACGCTCATCAACACTACTACATACCGTGATATATGTATGAAAGCTCGCCTCTCAAAGTCTCCGTCATGTAGACACGCACCAACAAGATCCACTTGAACTCACTCAATACACATAGCCTCTTAAGTTTTCAAAATGTCACGGGTCACGCTGACACAGTATCAAAACAGAGCTGGCGTTATTTTCTCAATGATTCTGCGGTGACAATTTACATAGCGAGCTCACGGAGGCACGCAGTCCTCTCGTTTTAGTGTGTTGCCGGCACACAGTGAAAATCTCCTAATAAAACCTGACTCACACCGTAAACACCACTGAATATTTATACCTCAGCCCAGGCCCCGAACCTAGATGCGAGAGTGGTCTACGTGAAACGTCTTCCATTATTCACAGTGTGTACCGACCAAGCTGTGTCGACAAGAGTCCTCGGTTGAACAAGTACAGCTACCAAACCCTTCCAAATAAGACCCAGTCTCGTTGTTCCAAAGCCCACGCCTCTGGGTGGTATATTTCATCCGTTATGATAATTACCCCAGTGGCGCTACAAGATCAAGGGACAAATTGGCGATTAGAAGATGAAAAACTTGGCTTGACGCAAAACAACACAGTGCGTCTACGCTAGTACCTATTGACCCTCCCAGCTATTTTCCCCTGCTAAGCTAACTGATATTTTCAGCCTTATCTTCAAAGGTCATCCAAGCAGATATGAATCTCATTGTAACTTATCCCAGCAACTGCTCTGGGTCTATAGGGCTTGCAGTGTTACTGATAACCTCATGACTTGTAGGCTTTCAAGAGAACCCAGGATCTGCCTATAAGCCTGTGTCAGTATTCACACATCCTTGCCTGGAGAATGGTATAGGCACAAACCTAAGCCGGCTGAGGACACACTTGAACAATACAAGCCACTCAAGTTCAAGGACTCAATTATACTAATAGTAGCACAACTGGTAACATGTATTATCAACAAAAACAGCCTCAATTTGCCAATCTTATTATCTTAAATTATGTAATTAATTTTCAACAGCCTTCCTTTGAACATTTTACAACATTGTTGATTTTTCTATTCATTAATCACTTCATTGAAAAGAAAACATTTTTTTATGATTAAAAAATGCCCATATTATTCCATTATTGATACAATCTCCATAGCAAATAACAACCCTATTTATATGAAAATTACTGCCAATATGTTACACAATTAATGAATAATCAGGACATAGAAAGATAATATACAGTGGAATAAAACGAAACAATTATGGAACTGTCCCATAAAAAATAAATAATATATAAATACAAAGAAGGAATAATAATGAACAAACAAACAATAATGGGAGATTGCAACATCAGACAATAGGGATGGTGTATGTTACACTTGTTAATAGCTCCTTGTCTGAAAGTGACATGACAGCTGTGATGCATACAATATACCACTGAAATTGACGCTGTGTGTAACAGCAGTTATACCATGGCCAGTTGAAATGAAATATACAACCCCGAGAAATGAACTCGACAAGCAGTGTCAACAGTGTGCACCATCCAACACCTGACATCCACCAGGCGAAATCCACACCTGTGAAATGTATCACAGTAGGCTCAAATCTCGTCAATTACCTGGGGTTTCAGGTAATCCCAATACAAACTTCAACCCAATCTACAGGTGAGAGTATCTGTTGGAGAATTAGCCAAAGCTGTTCTATTTCTACACTGCCCGAATATCGTGTTATTCAACATTCTTGCCCCAAACCAAAATAAAACCTGCAGCTGTTTATCAAGGCAGCGCAATTCAAAATCATCAACCACCTTCATCTACAATCAGTGCAATTAATGGGAGCATGGAGTACGAGGGACTTCTAACAAACACCATTAAACCTATTTTACATTTTTCATTGTGACATTTCACAACATTTATCTGAAAAATATACACAAACCCATTACCTTTGAAGAAAAACATTTGTTGGAAAGTAAATGACAAGGTGGCCGTTTTTCCAGAAAGGTTTAATTTTTTCACAAATAGCAAAGCAAACTCATATTTCGAAAATATTCACAATCACATTGACTTATCTCACCACAAAGAATGTTCAGTATCAAAGAACCTCAGCCCCATTTTGTGTGCATCAAACATGATGCAGATTTCACAAATGTCATGAACATCAAGCGTAGATCATCAATTCTGAAAATAACCTGAAGATGCTCTTTGAAGTGACATTACAGGAGACATGTACACAAGTGAGCCTTTACTGTTGCCTTTGTCCAAGTCCACTTGCATTGCATGCATATGAAATAGGCTACATTCATAGCAGAAACTGGCCATTTCAAAGCAGATGCTGTCATATTCCACAAACATTACACAGTTGCATCATGCAAAAACTTTATACTTTTCACAAAAAG